AAGATCCCCCTTAAAGTAGTTTGTATCTAGGTCTTTTTCAACAAGGCTATAACTTGTGATATGTTGTGATTGTATGTATGTGTGTGTATACGCACGCACGCACGCACGTACGTACGTTCAGAAATTAGGTTATGTAGTTGAGATCCACTCCCAGTTGACAGATGAATCAGCATTCTGAACCTCTTGGCTGCACTGTGATGTAAAGGGGGAAGTGCAGGCTGTGTACAAGTGTGTGTCTTAGTGGTGAGACAACGCTTTTTGATGCATCTGAGGCCATTCAGGATTAATTTCTGTTGAATAGGACTAGTGGAAAACTTTTGTTGATCAGCCAGCTGCAGCCACTGATCCCTGTATTCTAACAGTAGAGGAGTTCCCCTATCCGCCTTCAATGTGTGGATGGGGGAATCCATTTTTCATTTTTTTTTCTATCAGTCCTTTGGCTGGTCCAAAAAAAAGAAACAAGACATTTATGGCCAGCTTAAGTAGGGTTTTTTTCTCAGTCAGTTCTTTCTTTGCTATCTGTGTCCAACTGAACGGTTTTCCCTTCACTTTCTTTCCCAAGTCCAAGACACAAAGTGAGAGGAAAACCTGGTTGTTAACAGTTTTGCCAGAACTAGTGTCCTCATTGGAAGATTTCCCCTCTCTCTCTGTTCTTATGACAACCCAATATATAGGATCTTCTTTTATTTTCAGCAATAACAGTTAACAGGACAAATAGAGTGAATCTTCCTAACTGAGGCACAGACAGGGATTAGAACACCTGTCAAAGTTTTTTTGCTGTCTGCTGTACCTTAAATTTTCAAAATGCGTTTTGCCTTTAGGCTGGCCTTACACTATACAATTTTCTGTCCAATTTCTGCCCAATTTCCTTTAGATTTACCTTCAACTATATAGTGCAAGGGCCTGCCTGATTGGATACAATTGAAAGTGTTTTTTAGGTTTACCCTCATATTATATGGTTTTTGGTAAATCTAAACCAAAAATCTGAAGAAAATTGTATAATATATGGCCAGCCTTAGTTATACTTGAATGCACACTTCATTAAGAAATTGTTGCATTTGACCCCTTGCATATGGGGCCACCTGAGAGTAAAGTGTCCTTCCCAGCATTCTAGTGCATCCAGGAAGGATAGGTGCAGCATCCAGTGTTGCTGCAGGCAGCCTATCGATGTGTATTAATGTGTGACTGGATGGGGCTGAATCCTGGACCAAGTGGTACCTGCTTTTACAGCCCTGTGGCTTCAGGGACCTGTACCTCATGAGCACACTAAAACTCTGGAATGGAAGCACTGCTCCTAGACTGCCCCATGTGCAAGGGGCCAAAAACTGTTCAATCACTTCATGTGAAGTTATGGTTTGTCCAGTCCCCTCTTATTGTTGCTTCTGCTGGACCGCTTGTCTGCACATACAAATAAAGGCACGTAAAATTGGTACTATTAAAGACGTAAAATAGTATTTGAGATATCAATTCCCTTCAGATTTACAGCATCCAGAATTGAAAGTAACCTTCCAGAGGCATCCAAAGCTGTATGGGACAGAAGGGGTCATGCCGATTACATTGTTCTTCTTGACTGGTTCAGCTCAGTGACCGATTTAAAACTTGGGACAACACTTCAAAGCTTAAAAGATGCACTTTATAAGGTAAGGCTATGAGACGCAAACTTTACACAGATCTATAGCAACTCTCCCTCTCGTTGGATTTTCAGTGGTGTTCTTAAGATATGAGAGCATTGCTGCAAGTTGAAAGCTTTCATGAGCTGTTCTGGCATTGCAGCTGTTAGCTTGCTCCTGGCAAAGCTTTCATTATCCTAATAAAGCCAGAAAGGAAAGTTCTCCAGTCAGATATTAACCACTTGCCGTCCGCCCTATTCCAGAAGTACTGCGACACGGCTGCACAAAAGTGTGTGTGTGTGTGTATATATATACACATACACATATACATACATACACACACACACACACACACACACACACACACACACACACACACACACACACACACACACACACACACACACACACACACACACACACACACACACACACACACACACACACACACACACACACACTCGTGATTTGCATTCCCGGGTAGGGAACGCACGCCGCCCTACCCATGCCATGTTAGAGATATCAATCACTGAGTCCTGGCCAGCGATTCCCAGCCAGCACTCGGTGATCGTCAGGGAAAGCTGACGGGGAAGACCTGTGTGTAAACAACACAGGTCTCTGTAATTTAGGTATAGCGTTGCATGGCCGCGCAATTGTCAGTTAAAGTACGCAGCACCGTATCGCAAAAAATGGAAGGGGGTAAATCCTCTGGAGGGCAAGTGGTTAATTCCTATCTGTAAGTGCAGATTAGTTGAACTCTAGGTGGTTATAAAAAGATAAATTATGGCTACAGCTATCAATTCATAAAAAAAAACCCACAAAAAAAAATCTTGCATTATGATAATTGTATTCAGCTAATGTACTTAATGCTCATATCCTTTGTAAAATTAATAAAGCTTTTTTGTATTATAGTAATAAAAACATTTTTTTTTTCAATGCATCTATTTTATTTGCTTGTCTAATTGTACTCAAATTGATGGGATAATTGAGTTGTGTCCTCATATATTTAATAGTTTTGGTAAATCTAAACAAGACATACGTATAGGGATTGTACAGTCAGCTTGTAGCATGTATGGTGAGCTTTACACTAGTAATACAAATTATATGCTCACTAACGCCCCTTTTACAGGGGGTGGATTCCGCCTGCTCATCAGGGGATCTGTCCACTGATCCCCACTGAGCAGGCAGATGGCAAGTCCATGTCCGCTCCACTTATCTCCTATGGGCGGTCAGATGTAAACAGACTGCATGTCAGTTTACATCTGACTGTCATCCAATCCACTAGACGGTTGGGAAACAGATCCCCAGCAATCTGTTTTTAGTGGATAGGATCGGATCAGATGCAGACGGGTGTAAGTAGATAAATGTCCATTTACATCAGCCACTCCATAGAGGGCAATGGATGCTCCGATCGGGTCCATCTGAAAAAGTACATACGGACACTATTGGTCCGCTCATGTGAAAGGGGCCTAAAAAGAAAACCCAATGGGGGGAAACGCTATTGACACTTTTTTGATATAATTTTTTTTTTTTTCTTCTTCAAGTAGCCTGCACCATTATCAAAAAACCCTGCTGCCAATTTTGTTAGTTTTACTGGCACATGGAACAGATTCACTTAGGTTTTAATAGCGCCACTTTTAATAATAGTGACAATTATTTAGTTATTTCAGGTACTTATATAGCACCGTCAATTTACGCAGTGCTTTACACACACACGCACACACGTCCCTAACCCTCAAGGGGTGTACAATCTAAGGTCCCTAACTTACATTCATACATACACATACTAGGGACAATTTAGACAGGAGCCAATGAACCTACCAGCACGTCTTTGGAGTGTGGGAGGAAACTGGAGTACCCGGAGGAAACCCATGCAGGAACAGGGAGAACATGCAAACTCCAGGCAGGTGGAGCCGTGGCTGGGATTCAAACCAGCGACCCTGGTACTGCCAGGCAGAAGTACTGCTAAATGAGAATAATTCAGGCTTGTAGATAACGAAACTGGAGGTAATTAAGGCCATTTCAAACTTGGCATACAAAGACAGGCAGGGGGAGCCTGATGGGACACTAGTTTTCCATTAGGCTCTCTGTCTCCTTGTGATATTGACAGTCGGCAGAGAGCAGATTCTATTGCCAATAACAGGCTGTGTATTGGCTATGAAATCATTCCACTGCACACTCTCAGGTTTAGACTTTCTTATTATTTTTCTTGCAGTCAGAGCTCTTCTAGGCTTATAGGTAAGATTTCCCCTCGCTTCCTAATCTGCTGACATTGTCATCCAGACAAAACAATCTGAGAAAATCTCCAACACAGACATGCAGACCCCATTGCTACAAGGCATACATTCTAACCACTAGGCCACAGTACTATATATCTTATTTTATGATTTTATTTGACAGTACGTCTATTGCACCAACAGTATGCACAATGCTTTATAGTTGAAGGGAAACAGTGCAGTTATAAAGCAATTTAACACAAGAAGATGAGATCCTTGCTTGTGAGAGTTTACAATCCTACATAATAAGAGAATGTGGGACAACACAAAAATTGTTTTCCTAAGCTGGTGTAACCTACAAATTTTTTTTTTTTTTTTTTTTTTGCAAAAGAGCGTTGATACTTTCTAGAAAACCTGTGCATAGTGACACATGGAGGTTGCTGTTCCTGTCTTCTCCTGAAAATGCTAGTTGCCTGGCTGTCCTGCTTCTGTAATATCTTTTGATATTTGCCCTTGTCTGTGGCTAGAATTGGAGTCAGCGAATCAGAATTCTATTTAAGCATATAGGGCGTTTAGCAATGGCAGCCTGTAGGTTTGAGCATGTTCAATTTTTTCTGTTATTCAGATTCTCCAGCTTTGCTTGGGGAGGGTCTATCCATTTTACAAAACAGAAATGTGAATTAGAAGAAAATGTAGATCATTGTGAAAGCAATATATGAAAATGGCTGTTTTGTTTTGTTTCTAGTGGGAAACTAAAACCATTCTCAAAAGTGAACCTTTCATATTGGATGGCGGGTATGAGAATTGGCTGCTTTGTTATCCAATGTTTACCACAAATGGAAAGATAACTGTGCCGAGGCGAAGCCAAGCTGAAAACACGCTGTTGTCATGTAAGTTGACAGCTCATCCAGTTTTCCTGCTTTGTACTCGGCATGTTAAATTTGTAATATTGTTTGATTCGCTCCATTGCTTGGATGCTTTGGAGACTTTGCACACCTAATATGAGCTTGGCCTATAAAATCTGTTTTTTGGATTAGTCCTATGGTCTGTCTCAGATATGCTGTGGCCAATATGTTTTTTGTTTTTTTTTTTTACCATCCCTTTTTCTTATTAATGCAAAAAAAAAAAATCACATTCTTTGGTTTCCAATTGCACACTCAAGATTTGTGTTGTTCCTGACTCTGCAAACCTCTGTCATGTGCATAACTCAACCACCCCTTTATGATCACCATTCTGATGAAAAAAATAGCTGCTGAAGTTCCATCTCCATAGTCCTCTCTTCTCCCCCAGCCTGCTGCTTTAACTGCAGTGATGTCATCCCTGCGCTCACCCTTCCTGTATGATGTTTGCACCCACTGGCTCAAAGTGCTGACCCAGCCTCTGTCAGCCTTAAGCTCTGCTGTATAGGGTATTGCAGGAAGACTAAAAGAACAGGTTTGGATATTTATACTATCTGTTACAGATACCTTTTAATGCAATACGTAATGGGTTTTTTTTTTTTATAAATATAGCGCGTGTGTGTATATATACTGTATATGTGTGTGTGTGTGTATATATATGTATATGTGTGTGTGTATATATGTATGTATGTCATGGCCAGAAATATCGGCACCCCTGCATTTCTGTCAGATAATGTACCACTTCACCCAGAAAATTGTTGCAATTACAAATGTCTAGGCATTCTCATGCTTATTTCTTTTGTTTATATTGGTATGACACAAAAAAGTGGAGAAAGAAAAAGCCAAATCTGACCCGTTCCATGCAAAACCCCATAAAATGGGCCGGCAAAATTTTTGGCACCTTCTCAAAATTGTAAGAAATAATTGCATTCCAAGTTTGTGATGATCCTGTAATTTGTAATTAAACTCACCTGATCTTAATGTTCCTGTGTCCACTGTGTGCAATATTGTCAAAAGGTTTACAGCCCATGGCACTGTAGTTAATCTCCCTGGACGTGGACAAAAGAGAAAAACTTGATCAAAGATTGCACCAAAGGATCGTTTGAATCGTAGATAAAGAAGGAGGACCCCATTGCTGACACAGATACATAAAAAAAGCCATATTGGAGTTTGCCAAAACTTACCTGAGGAAACCAAAATCTTTTTGGAAGAATGTTCTGTGGACAGACTAAACAAACTTACAGCTTTTTGGTAAAGCCCATCATTCAGTTTGACCTACAGTCAAACATGGCGGAGGTTCACTGATGTTTTGGGGTTGCTTTGCTGCTTCAGGCGCTGGATGTCTTGACCCTGTGCATAGCATTATGAAATTTGAAGACTAACAAAGAATTTTGAGGTGAAATGTCAGGCCCAGTGTCAGAAAGTTAGGTTTCTGTCAGAGGTCAGGGGTCTTACAGCAGGACAGTGACCCAAAGCGCACATCAAAAAGCACCCAGAAATTATTATTATTATTATACAGTATTGATAAAGCACCAATGGTTCGCTGAGCGCTGTACATTACAAAGGGAGACAGAACATGCGACAGTACAGTAACAATACAATGCGATACACGAGGGGTTCGAGGGTCCTGCTCCTTGGAGCTTACAATCTAGGAGGGAGGGGATAGTGGTACAGGAGGAGATAGCTGTGAGGGATGGAGTGGTAGGAAGAGTGGAGGAGGTCGGCAAATTAGCAGGCGGTGGGGTAGGCTTCCCTGAAGAGTTGGGTTTTCAGGGTGCACCTAAAGGAGAGGAGAGTACAGTGGGGATCGAAAGTTTGGGCACCCCAGCTAAAAATTTGTATTAATGTGCATAAAGAAGCCAAGGAAAGATGGAAAAATCTCCAAAAGGGACATTCTTATAATATGTCAACAAAAGTTAGATTTTATTTCCATCATTTACACTTTCAAAATAACAGAAAACAAAAAAATGGCGTCTGCAAAAGTTTGGGCACCCTGCAGAATTTTAGCATGCACTGCCCCCTTTGCCAAGCTGAGACCTGCCAGTGTCATGGATTGTTCTCAATCATCGTCTGGGAAGACCAGGTGATGTCAATCTCAAAGGTTTTAAATGCCCAGACTCATCTGACCTTGCCCCAACAATCAGCACCATGGGTTCTTCTAAGCAGTTGTCTAGAAAACTGAAACTGAAAATAGTTGATGCTCACAAAGCTGGAGAAGGCTATAAGAAGATAGCAAAGCGTTTTCAGATGTCAATATCCTCTGTTCGGAATGTAATTAAGAAATGGCAGTCATCAGGAACAGTGGAAGTTAAAGCAAGATCTGGAAGACCAAGAACAATATCAGACAGAACAGCTCGCAGGATTGTGAGAAAAACAATTCAAAACCCACGTTTGACTGCACGATCCCTCCAGAAAGATCTGGCAGACACTGGAGTTGTGGTACACTATTCCACTATAAAGAGATACTTGTACAAAGATGGTCTTCATGGAAGAGTCATCAGAAGAAAACCTCTTCTACGTCCTCACCACAAAAATCATCGTTTGAACTTTGCAAATGAACATATAGACAAGCCTGATGCATTTTGGAAACAAGTTCTGTGGACCGATGAGGTTAAAATTGAACTTTTTGGCCGGAATGAGCAAAGGTACGTTTGGAGAAGAAGGGGCACAGAATTTAATGAAAAGAACCTCTGTCCAACTGTTAAGCATGGGGTTGGATCAATCATGCTTTGGGGTTGTGTTGCAGCCAGTGGCACAGGGAACATCTCATGAGTAGAAGGAAAAATGGATTCAATAAAATTTCAGCAAATGTTGGATGGTAACTTGATGCCATCTGTGAAAAAGCTGAAGTTAAAGAGAGGATGGCTTCTACAAATGGATAATGATCCTAAACACACCTCGAAATCCACGGGGGATTACATCAAGAGGCGTAAACTGAAGGTTTTGCCATGGCCTTCACAATCTCCTGACCTCAACATAGTTGAAAATCTATGGATAGACCTTAAAAGAGCAGTGCGTGACAGACAGCCCAGAAATCTCAAAGAACTGGAAGACTTTTGTAAGGAAGAATGGGGATACCTCAAACAAGAATTGAAAGATTCTTGGCTGGCTACAAAAAGCGTTTACAAGCTGTGATACTTGCCAAAGGGGGCAGTACAAGATATTAACTCTGCAGGGTGCCCAAACTTTTGCAGACGCCATTTTTTTGTTTTCTGTTATTTTGAAAGTGTAAAATGATGGAAATAAAATCTAACTTTTGTTGACATATTATAAGAATGTCTAATCTGTAATTTGATGCCTTTTGGAGATTTTTCCATCTGTCCTTGGCTTCTTTATGCACATTAATACAAGTTTTTAGCTGGGGTGCCCAAACTTTAGATCCCCACTGTAGGTGATAGTCTGATGGGTTGGGGCAGGGCGTTCCAGAGATTGGGTGACACCCTGGAGAAATCCTGGAGGCGGGCATGGGAGGAGGAGACCAGGGAACTAGAGAGAAGGATGTCTTGTGAGGAGCGGAGTGTGCGTGTTCGGATGGTACTTGGATATTAGGTCAGTGATGTAGTTTGGGGCAGTATGGTGGATGGCTTTGTACGTCAGTGTTAGGATTTTGAATTGATCCGTTGCACAATTGGAAGCCAGTGGAGGGATTGGCAGAGGGGGGTGACGGAAACGGAGCAGTTGGTAAGGTAAATGAGTCTGGCTGCCGTATTCAGGATCGACTGAAGCGGGGATAGCCTGTGGCAAGGCAGGCCAGTGAGGAGGGAGTTGCAGTAGTCGAGTCGTGATATGATGAGGGAGTGGATGAGCTGTTTAGTGGTTTCTGGGGTTAGGAACGTGCGGATTTCGGCGATGTTGCGGAGGTGGAGTCTGCATGAGTTAGTTAGTGATTGGACTTGGGGCTGGAAGGATAGGTTGGAGTCCAGAATGACACCAAGTACTCTGGCCTGCGGGGCGGGCTTGATAGAGGCATTGTTGGACGTGATGGAGAAGTCACTGGGGGGTGGTGTGCGGGCTGCTGGGGAAGACTAGGAGCTCGGTTTTGGAGAGGTTCAGTTTAAGGAAGAGGGGAGCAACATCCAGTCTGATACGTCGTTTAGTAGGTTTGTGATTCGAGAGATAGATTTGTGTATCGTCGGCATAGAGGTGGTAGTTGAAGCCGTGAGAGTGTATGAGTTGGCCAAGGGAGGAGGTGTAGAAATGGTTTCAAAGTGCTGGAGAGTACTGAACTGGCCAGCAATGAGTCCAGATCTCAATCACATGTGGAGAGATCTCAAAACAGCAGTTGGGAAAAGGGACCCCTCCAATCTGAGAGACCTGGAGCCGTTGGTGAAAGAAGAGTGGTCCAAAATTCCAGCAGAGTGGTAGAAGAAACTCATTGATGGTTACAGGAAGTTATTGATTTAGTTATTTTTTTCCACGAGGTGTGCTACCAAATATTACATTGCAGGTGCAATAACTGTAACCAGCCCATTTTTGGGGTTTTGAGTGGAATGTGTTAGATTTGGCTTTTTGTTTCTCCACTTTTTGTGTATCCTACCAATACAAACGAAAGAAATAAACAGGAGAATACCTAAACATTTGTAATTGCAACAATTTTCTGGGTGAAATGGTGCATTATCCGACAGAAATAGCTGTGTGTGTGTGTGTGTATATATACAGTTGTGTTCAAAATAATAGCAGTCAGACATCACTAACCTGATCAATCACTGTTTTTGGTAGAAATTATATTTCTACATGGCAAATAATTTACTAGCAGGTTTAGTAGAGTAATAGAAATCCAACAGACCCAACAGTCATGACATGCATGCTGCTGATTCTGTGTAATTGAATCACTAATTGAAAGGGGCATGTTCAAAATAATGGCAGTGTGGAGTTCTATTAGTGAGGTCATTCATTCTTTGAAAAACAGGTGGCAATTATTGCCCTTATTTAAGGAAGGAAGGCAGCAACTGTTGTACATGCTGGTTACAGTGCACTTCTCTCTGAAATCC